AAAACCGTTCTTGAAATAGCTTGCTGACAATTCAGGTTAACATGCTGAAATCTTCAAAGTGTCTCTGTGACCTTGAACATTAAGTGAAGGTCACCAAAATTGACTGGGCCCTGCGCCTTTCCTGGATTAAGCTTGGTGTTAAATATGAAGAAAATCCAGTGAACCGTTCTTGAAATAGCTTGCTGACAATTCAGGTTAACATGCTGAAATCTTCAAAGTGTCGCCATGACCGTGACAATTAAGTGAAGGTCGCCAAAATCGACTGGGACCTGCGCCTTCCCTAGATAAAGCTTGGTATTGAATATGAAGACAATCCAGCGAATAGTTCTTGAGATAGCTTAACATGCAGGTAAAACGTGAAAGTCTCCTTGTGACCTTGAAATGAAGGTCAAGGTCACCAAACCTGACTTGGACCTTTCTTATAGTGTGATGAACCTAGATACCAAATATGAAAAGAATCTAGTGGACGGTTCTTAAGATATTCCAATTTGGACGGACGGAGCCTAATACAATATTACGCGTGGTGGGGGATAATAATTGGGTACTTGAGTCGTGTGTGCTTCCTTTTTTAACAATTGGGTACTTGAGTCGTGTGCTTACTTTCTTAACAATTGGGTACTTGAGTCGTGTGTGCTCGCCACACGGAGTGTGGAGAACCGCCATACCGGTGAGAATATTGGACAGATTTTAAATTCTGTCCAAGAGGAATTTGGGATTGCTAAAGTGGCCGACCTAACTACTGACAATGCGAGCAACATGTCTCTGGTGGCAAAGACAGCAGGTTATCCTCATGCGAGATGTTTTGCCCACACTCTTCAACTAGCAGTCCATGATGGTTTGAAACTTCCTTTTATTGAGAAAATGCTGATGTTTGCACGTAAGCTGGTAGCGTTTTTCTCAAAGTCAACTTGGGCAACTCAAGAACTGAGAGAACATCAAGCAAAGCTTGGTAAAGCTCCCAAAAATGTCATTACCGACGTGGTGACTCATTGGAATTCTGCCTGTTTCATGTTAGAGCGTCTGGCCTAACTCCACACAGACATCGTGGCTGTGCTCCATGACCCGCTGCTGAAGAAACACAAGGGATTGAATCTAAAAGATACACACTGGAGTTTGCTGGAATACCTTGTGGTGGCACTGAAGCCACTAGTATCTGCCACAGAAGTCCTTTGCAGCGAAGAGTTTCCAAAATCTTCAGGTGTGTATCCCCTTATGTTTGCGCTAGTCATCAAGCACCTGAAAGTGTCAGACTTGGACATGAATATCATTGCAGACATGAAGACAACCATCGCAAAGATCGTCTTCTCAAAGACGAGTTTTGGGAGAGAACTCAAATGATTGCAACGGCCCTGGACCCTTGTTACAAAAATCTGCGGTTCCTGACAGATGATAAAAAAAAGTGACATCTAACACCATATTATCGAGTTGACTGAATGCAACCACACACGTCAACCAACAGAAGAAACTCCTGTTTTTCATGTGAAGGAAAAAACAGAAGAAGAGCCAGATTTGCCAGCAACAACACCCAAACAACCAAGCAAAAAATTCATATTTTGTGAGAATGACAATGCTGTCATTCCTCTTGGATGACATAATCTAAATCGATGATGACGAGAACCTTCATTAAGATGCCAGAGCTGAGTATCATGACTATCTGTGTGCCCCTAACAAGCTGCCTGGGTCATCAACGCTAAAATCATTAACCTTTAGCTGGTTGCGGGAAAATGCCAACTTATTTCCATGAATTGCAACATTGGCTCAAGAACACCTTTGCATACCCGGTACAAGTGTATCATCCGAAAAAGCTTTCTCTACCGCCGGTCTCACGATCACCAAACAGCAGGCATCACTTGATTCAAAAACAGCAGATGCAATCATCTTTCTGAATAAAAACCTGAGAAATACTCTACAAACCTCGTCCGAGTCAACGTCGTCTTGTCCACCAGTGCCAGCAGTCTCTATGAAAGTGGAGCCGGTTGATCCAATTCCTCAGACACTGAGACAGAGTCGAGTGAGTCTTGTGAAACTAACATCACTCAACCGCCACTTCCCGGTCTCCCACATATGTGTTGAAGTGTTCAAATTCAGAAGCTATTTGCTTATTGCCCCTCGAGTTTATGTGTTTCAAAGTTTATAGTGACATTTTTTATACAGCAAGTTAGAGGATGCTACACTTCCAAGATATATTTGACAATCTACCAGTTACACCGGCTGTCAAATTTTGTCAGTGAACAACATTACAAGGCTCTACTCTCGAGTTTAATTGGCATTTCTCACGTTCTTTCTTTGACATTTGTAAAAACGTTAGAGACGTGAATGATTTATTTGTTTATCTGTTTAAACTTAATGTTAACTTACGTTGATATATTTGAGAAAATATGGAAACTTGCATTCGATCAGTTAAAGTGTGTCTGAGATTGTACTGAGTGCGGCATAAAAACTAAACTCACTCTGAGATTGTTTAAGATTACCAATACTCACAGCACTACACCGCCTAAGGATTAAGGCATTTCTAATATGTGGTTTGTTTGTTAACAACTGAACACACAGGCAAACAAAGGCAACTGTGTTGTGCAACAAAGCAAAATTACCAGTCTTACCCAATGCGAACGAAATTATTATGTTCTGTTGCACAACTCAGTTGCGTTTGTTTGCCTGTGTGTTCAGTTGTTAATGTGGTTAACATGAGATAAGTGATTCATTTGTTTGTCAGTATCCTCTGATGTTCAGGAAAGTGAAGATGTGAAGAAAACCTTTGCGGGCGTAACTTCTTGAATCTTGATACTGTTATTAAACATCTTCAAATGTAACGAACGTGTTGATCTTTTTGTTTCATATGTTTCATTATCAACATTAGACAATTGCGGGTAAATAATTTTGAAAAGAATTGTTAAAGTCCATCAATATCAATCAAACTTCTTCCTTTTAACCGTCTCGTATCCAATGGATTGAGCTGATTGAAAGTGTTCATTTCATTGGTTTTCCATAATTTACTAACAACCAATGGCTGATTATGTCTTCGCCACGTGCTACTCTTCATGTACAGCAAAATGAACCCAAGGCGGCAAAGTCGCCCCATTGTCCTGTAGTGCTAGTAAGTAAGTAAATTAGTAATACATGAAATTCCCATGAAACTAAACCAATCAATATCATATTTTATTATTTTGTGGTCTTTGATTTTACATTATCATAACAATGGAAAATGTAAATCTAATGACAATATCAAGTCAGAAAGCTGTAAGTGATAGCTTGCATGATAGGAACACATTTCATGCCTTAAACTGTAATGTTTAACAACATGTGTGTATTACTAAGATACCTAATTCACCCTTGATCAAACAATCATCGTATTGCGTAATGTCATGCCAGTTATGCTATGGTTTGCTGGAAAGGTATGAATTTCGAGTACTCAGGCAGAGGCATAGATAAGCTGCGTATCCGGGTAAAATACGCATAGAATTATGCATTGAAAGATAATTGTTGCGTACCAATTACGCATTTAAAATGTTAGATACGCAGAAAGTTTAAAACAAATGCGTACGGAATATATTTATAAAAATCGCTTGCGTAATGAAAAAGACATTGATTGCTATCAAGTTGGACTGTTAGTATTGGACAAGTGTTGTACTGTCAGTATAGGATGAGGGATTTTTTATGAAATCATTTCCATTATATTTAAGTTGGTTTTGATTACCGCCTCGTTTTCCATTGACTTCTAGTTTACAATAACATCGGTAAAAATGTGTGAATTTAAATGGCTTCCATATTTTACCCCAATCCATGTGCGTACAACTTCTGCTTACCCAGTTCATTAGGGTCCGTATAACCTTAGTGTTGATTATATATATTTTACATAAAAACTGTAATTAAAATTACACAATGCTAGGTTATATTTCTTTGGGTTAAATAATAGTACTCTGTATTATATTTTACTGATGACTGCGTCAGAATTCGTCCCGTTATATTATTGTGCATGTTTGAACTTGATCGCCGGGAAACATGTGCACAGCTGATTGCTATTTCCGGCTCAGATACACACGGTAATCTTAATCCCTGCAAATAATACAATGCCTAGAGATGTTTAATAGCAAATTTGACGTCTCTACTGACAAATTCGTCTTCTGTTGTTTGTTCACGCTAAGTGATACGATGTTGTTTTCTTACCCCTGGAAAAAAGTTTGACAAAAGCGTAACCCATGGATAAGATGACCCCCTTCTACAGACTGCTTTTTTTGGTCCTCAAAATTCGGCTTATAGACGGTAATATACGGTAGGTATGACATAAGGCAGAACATACCTGCTTAGTAAACTTACTCAATGGCATATACTTAGGTGAGTAAAATGACTGAAATACGCACATATTTGAAAGCAGTGGGTAACAGAAAAAGAAATACCCACTCAAGATTCATAATACCCACTCCAAAAAAATACAGAGGGTACAGTACTCACATGAATTAAATCTTATCTGGAGTTTTGCTCAGGTCCGAGTCGAGTCTGACCCCGGGAGTACTTGAGTCCAAGAAAATGGACTCCTTGAAGCCCTACACCCCACACTAAAATTTATCATGTACAAAGTAAGTGATCCCCCCTAGCTGCTTGTCATATACAAAATCAAGGACCCCTCCCCATAATTTTTAAGCATAACTTTTTAATATTTATACATGTACAAAATTGCTGGGACACCACCACCCCCACCCCCGTTCTTGTGTACAAAATTGATTACACCCCTCACCTCCCCAGAACAAAATGGGTGAACACCCCCCACACACACCCATCCCCCATTAAAATCATCACCACCCACACTAGCCATAAATTATGAACGGTTCCTAATGACACTCTTTTGTTCTTCGGTCTCATGGAAAACAAGTCAGATGGTCATAATAGCCACATGCGCTCCTAAAGTTAAATTGAACAATGTTGCCAAAGAGTCATTTTCAGTTCAAATATATCGTTGCACAAGATGGCAATTGTCTGGTCAAGAAAAAATACATTTTACTCACCTTTGATTTAGCAAGAATACCTACTTTGCCCCTCGCCATGATAATTGTCTGTATCAGCGATCGTCGCTAGTGTCACACACTGTTACAATCACACGTGTTAGACAACTTCCGGCCTGGGTTCGCGCGAATGATTTCAACGCTGTGCGAAAACATTAAGCTGGGCCCCGTCTCATATATCACTCTACACAAGCTTTGGCGCAAGTTGGCGCGCGCGAAGGGAGCCAGAAACCAGCTTACTAAAACATTTGGTATCTCAACCTGACATGTTAGACTAACAACTAGTATCTCTGAAATGAACATATTTTACTGAAAAAAAGTTCATAGTAAAAAAAAAATATAATGAAAAGGAGCCCTGAGACTTTCTACATTATCAGCGACTAAACAAATCTGCAGAGGGATAATATTTCTTGGAATTTCACAACATGTACACAGGTTCTTATCACCTATTAACTGCTTTATAATTGTGTGTGACAGGAATATTTACTGCCCCACCGCCTCCTCATCCTACTGCCAGTGGCTTGGGCCGATTTGGGGTAATGAGTATCAAGTGTCGCCAAATCTATTTTGAGAGCAAGCAGGGATACCAGCTAAGGGTAGCATCTCTTGTATTCCTATGGCTGGACAACTGGATCTCACAAAAACAATTCAAAAGTTATTTATATTCTCCAAAATCCAAAGGTTGTGTCTGCACTATATGTGGAAGTTTAATTGATGTCGCATATATATAATGTAACAAGCAGAAAAAGTCATCAATATCCCCCGCAATGGCAAAAATACTCTTCATGTATAATCAGTCATTCTCAGTTAAGTTGTACAAATGCTGTCGGACTGGTTACAGGCCCCGCTATCCATACCGTGAAACCGTTTTTCCTATGAAATCGACAGTATTCAATAGTCAAATGTAATAGAATTTTTTGGTAAACTACAATAGTCACAAACACTTGAGAAAATATTTGAAACTGACTGTTTCTTTACAGTTGGTTATGATTTTCTTGCTGTCGGCAAAGCATATTGCCGTCAATGATTCTCTTCTAGATAATACTAATTACTTACAAGTCAACTTAATAAACCAGAATAATGAAATTTCAAAGTGTGCTTTATATTTAAGAACAAAAAAATCAAGAATGAGAAAGAAACAAAAAGACAATTTTTTGTTTTAATTTTCTCGGTAGAAGTAACGTAATTTACGTTATGGTAACTGATGTACATAACATTTACTACATATAAACAAGTTTAGCAAGTAAAATGGGTTGTATTCTATGCCGAACACAATATTGCTTTCAAACAAATGTCAACTGATTAACAAGGAAACTTATTAGAACGAACTCATCCATTTTATCTTCAGTTATTGGAACGATTTTTTAAGGATGAAATCATACGTGACGGTCACAGTAAAATAAGTCTCATAGGAATCGATGCTGGCCCTAATCCATTTACATGGATAAATAAATCACCAAAACGGAGTAATGTGGCCCTCATCCTGGACATTTAATATAAGGATGTAATTTACGTTTTGTAATTTACGTTTAGTAGATGTTCAGAAATTCCTTGTAAGTGCAAAAGTGCACCACAAATACCCTATGCAATCACACGTTGGAAGCAGTGGTCATTTCAGCACGTCATTCGAATGTGAACCTTTATGAACCGGAGTTTCCTGATTCATCCTGAAGTAGAATAAGTGTTTTTCAATGATAAGGATGACTGTACTGTTTTGACACATGCTGTATAATGATTCCGAGTTACATTTTTGCAACATTACGATAATATTTTGATTAATCAGTTTAAATACTTTCATAATTCAGACATGATTTATGAAAACCATTCTTTGCCTTCCATGCATGGCCCTGTAACGTAAATTACAGGGATTGTGACGTAAATTACTTTTCATTGCCTCTACATTAATCTTTTCTGTATAAAGCACAGGTGTATAAAGTAAGCTGAATATTGAAACATATGGTTTCCTATCAAGTGATAAAGCAGTAAACCTGTGATTGGATCGTGGGGATTTAAATTTAAAGATGTAAACAGAACTAATTTCAGTGTTTGATTATTTGTTGATGTAGTTCTTTATATGATACTTGTGAAACTGCACACAATGATGATAATACTTAAAAACATGCATGTTTTATCCTTAAACAAATGGCTATAGAGATACTCTTCAAAGTAGTGATGTTATTGCATGCGATTCATCATAAAGCATTTATGAAGTCTAATATTAACTGTTAACGTAAATTACATTACTTTATTTGGGATTGTTTGGAAAGTGGCATTATGTTAAATGATGGAATCTATACATTATTGCTTGAATTGTGGTCATCTATTACAGATAATACAGTTAATTCTCAAGCAGAGAAAGAAAGAGAATACAGAGAACGGAAAATCAGCATTGGGAAACAAATAGAATAGGAAAGAATTGGAACGTATTAAAAGTATTATAAGCAGACCAGTTCACTGTTTAGGGCTGAAAAAGAAAAAGTAACCGCAGAGAAAGAAACAAAAAGAAATGTCAGAAAATATGGAGAAAATGTAAAAGGCATTCTAGCTACTATGACCCAGAATGAAGCGACTGCAGAAGTTGTTTTACGGGAGCCTGTAGTGACTAAAAAGTCTGATGAGAATGGTGTGTCCAGGACAACACACGAACCAGTAATTTTAAGCTACCTGCTTTTATTCATGTACAAGTTTCTGTGTTTTATACGTTCATATACGTCAAATGTTCTTGGAAACATCTGCTTTGGTCCTTGCTTATGATAATATCACCAATGACCATTTATATTTAAAGTTGCAATTGTTGACTGGTAATTTACGTGACAGTGGTATTTTGATCAGGGTTTATGTGTCTAATGTTCAAGGTCAGGTTAACCAAAAGTTGTTGGTTTCATTAATTAGTTGTCAATTTGGAAAAAAACAACTTCTAAATATAGGCATTTAAGAGTTGAATCTTTTGTCATTTGGTATTGTTTATTTGTATCAAAATTAATGAAACATTGTAATTTACGTCACTCAAAAAAAGAATGCGTTGTTATCCAGATGACTGTTAAGATCGTTGGGACCAGCATGTAAGATTATTGCCTGACAATACAGTATCACAGTGACAGGTGATAATCAAATATGAAACGCAGCAATTCTGTTTTAGCATTATCGATGATAAAGCGTATCAGTTTTAACAATGTCATTTCCTTTCATACCCAGTATAAAAAATCTGAAATAATAAAGTACATGCCCGGATGTTCATATTGCTTTTCCACATAGATGACATGTGAAACTGTCTATCTTATTCTGCTGTTTTTGAAAATATCAATGTATTGCTATTTGAAAGGCAGCTGGTCATTGTGGCTTGGGTGTCGTCACGTAGATTTCATTGTAACATCAGGGTACAGTAGTATAAAGAGCTGTTGCAGGGTAATTGTCTGTGCCTGAGTGTTGAATATTTAGTAACAGGCTCTCTAATGCTTGTACTTCATGAAAAGTAATGCAATTTACCGAACATGAAACATTTTTTTCCCGGGAGTTTCCACTGGCAATTGTACATTTTAACTGAGAATGGCTGCTTACATATGTCAGTTAGTTACGACTATTTCAAATGTTTTGGTGTGTATGTAATAGGCGCCTCCGCTGAGGGAGGTCACCCAGTGACAGTAAGGTTCATATATCAAGGTTCGATGTTGTTATTTAACGTTCTCCGTTGTGGACTTTGCGTTGTGTATTTTAATTAGATGTTAATCTTGTACCTGGAGAACGGAACCTTTCATGGACCTTATTTCAGGTTCTATGGTAGTTCAAGTCATTGTTAAAGATTCTGCACAAAATAAGAACAAAGTTCAGATTTCACCAAATACATACAGTTTATTAATTAATAAAAACAAACTAAGCCAAACTCAACAAAATAAACAGAAGCCAGCATCACACATACTCACAACTATCAGTCTATGAAACCCAAAGAAAAAGAAAGTCCTAACTAATTAATTCCTACATACAAAGCCTACTCTAATCCTATCGTTTCCCCCAACCCACTAAATATTCTCCTACTCTACATGCAAAATAATCCTACACAAAACCTAAGGAAAGGAGGAAGACCTTCCGACTTACTATACGGTCAGGATGTCCTGAAGCAAGCGACTTCTCTGAGCGTTACAGGCCCTTAAATACCCTGCGCGCTAACCTTTGACCCGGGAAAAGTAGCCTAACTCCCATTGGCCCGCAATGGAGTCAGCCGACAATCACGACAGCTCTACCATACCGCACTCGGAATGCAAACAGAAAACACACCGGGCCACGGCAATCCGAGCACGGCATGGCAGCGCATGCCGTGACTGTAAACTGTCCGGGAAAGGAATAATTCCAATGGAATTTTACAGCCAAACGAAGGTAAAAAGCGGAATTTTATACACTACAAGCAACCTCTGAAGAAATCACTTACTCCCGGAAACTGCTACGTAAAACTTCCCACTAAATATATATATTACAACCCCAATAATGTGAAAAGAAAATAACTTCTATTTCCAACAAAAACCCCATTTTCCTACATTCCTCCCCCCTTAAGAGTAAAATTCCCAATTTTATTCCCATATTTCTTTTCACACACACATTCACACTTACAATAAGTTACAACAAAAAATGCTACAAATACAATAGAAATAATGCGACGTTTATAAATTCAATCACTGTTCAGTGCAGACATGGCCTCCAGCTCTTCTTCCTCTCTTTCTTCCCCTGGACCTTCTTCGGGAAGGGAGGCGATGACGCCTCGAGGCTTCCTCCTGCCAAAGTCGTAGCCTTCGTGGGGAGAGCGTCTTCTCTTGTGGCTTCGCCATCCTTGGAAGTAACGTTGCTCCGGGATCCATGTATTGCCAATTGGGAGCTTGAACCCTGGAAACAGTCACGTCTCCATCGTGTGTCTTTGTATGCCACCTCCCAGATGACAACTTAGCGAAATCCTTCCCACATACGGAGCAACAAAAACGTGTCACATGAGGCTTGTGCTTGATCAGCCAATGATCTAGAAGTTTTCCATATTTATGGAAAACATGTTCTCCACACTCGGAGACCGGGCACGGCATCCCTGCATTTGTCCAAAGGGGTCTTTCTCCATCCAAGAATGCCTTCGATTCTTCCTCC